TTATTTTGCTTAAGAAATTAGAAATTAGAGTAACGTTATTATTTATAGTAATAGTGATATGCGGTTTGTTTGTGTATGATTATTTTTATATTATTAAAATTTATATTTATACATAGAGGTGTTTTGCATATCTTTAAATTGAGCCATCTTTGTTAAAATAAATAGTAGAATAGAATACTTTCAATTATTGGTCAATATTATTATTACAGCAAACTTAATAATGTATTGTTAATTAATATTTCTATGTACAATCAGTAGTGAGTATGTATGTAATTAAAAGTTTTATTATGAATGAGAACATGAACACAATGTCAAAATTGTCATTACAAACAATCGTTACAGATATTATATGATTTATTACAAAACTTCATTGATATTCTATAATTATATTACCAATGTTGACTAGAGAATTTTATGACTATTATTTCAGAGCTTCAGTTACCTACAAAGAAGCTGAAACCATATAACATTCCAAATTTGCTTTGACACCGCCACAATTGAAATTTTTGAGGACGACTTCAGAGGACTGTGAAGATGGCCCCCGGGTTTTTATGGGAAATTGCTAGCGAAAATGGGAAAACGGCATTAATTCCGTTAATTGTCTCTGATACTCGTAGTAATTTCCCATTTTCGATTAGTCAACGGGAAATGGGTGAAAATTGGCATTTTCTCCTGGCACCGGAAGTGGCCTCTTTCTCTAATAACTGTTGTTGAATAATTACGATTGATGGCTTAAAATTAAGATTTCAATATCCCCCGTCATCCCCCGTATTCGCATTTATGCTAAATGTTACTCATTTTAAATAAAAATTGTTCATAACTTTGATGCTTTGTATGGCGGGAAATCGATGTCAGTCCGTATTTCTTATTGAAGTATAGAAAATACTTCAATATATTGAAGTATTTTTATAATATGCTACAATGGATTATTACTTTATATTGTTAAGAAGAATGGAAGTAAAATTAAGTTCGTTATTAAATAATTCAACAAATATAAAACTAAGCTATAAGATTTTGATCAATGATTGTTTTTTTTCAATTTTAACTAGTCAATTCAATTTTTTTATTACTTTGTTCAGAATTATGTTATTTTATATAGTTAAAATATTAATTATAAAATTGGCATGTTGACAAACTTATAGAAAACCTTAGAAAAAATTATTTATGTATATGTACATAAAATGTGAATGGTTAATTGAGTAGAATTTGAATTACTTATTATTATAATTACGCAATGTAGAACTCATATAGGGATATCTGGTGATTAGCAAACGTTTGACCTGTTTTATCGACTAACTGCTGCATATTACTAATTTTTACATTTTCCTCAATTTTGGATAGAATATCGACAAAAGGAAAATTGTTTAAACGAAAACATGGCTTATGAGGTTAACTGTACAAGAAAGTATTATTATCAGATTAGGTATTATTATTGTTTAAGAGCAGACGACTCTAACAAGTGTCCAGTATATGTATGCGACACCAGCTGTGTTATCTGGACCACGGAACGCAGAAATACGGACTGACACCGATTTCCCGCCATTCAAAGCATCAAAGTTATGAACAATTTTTATTTAAAATGAGTAACATTTAGCATAAATGCGAATACGGGGGATGACGGGGGATATTGAAATCTTAATTTTAAGCCATCAATCGTAATTATTCAACAACAATTATTAGAGAAAGAGGCCACTTCCGGTGCCAGGAGAAAATGCCAATTTTCACACATTTCCCGTTGACTAATCGAAAATGGGAAATTACTACGAGTATCAGGGACAATTAGCGGAATTAATGCCGTTTTCCCATTTTCGCTAGCAATTTCCCATAAAAACCCGGGGGCCATCTTCACAGTCCTCGACTTCAGGCATTTTGCTGCCTCATCAAATTTGACTACGGTACTTTTTTAAAAATTAGCTTTTTAATCTACTTTTTATTCAAGCTTTATTATAAACATTTTCTGGAATTTTCATAACCGAGTCTTGATATCAATTTACCAAATATGTTTATCTTATCTTAAAACTTATAATTGAATATATCGGTTTATGATAGTATTATCTTATTGAACAATTTTTATTTGTTTAAATTATATGAAACTTGAAAATGTTCAATATTATTTACTAATATTTACATAAATTAATTAATTTATTTTTTTTACAGGTTTAACGAGCATCATCAGCTTTGTGGTTTTATTTATTTTTTTCTATTGTATGTGTTACAATTTTAATGCTATAGTTAAAAGTTGAAAAAGTTTGTTGTATTTTTAATAAAAAAGCTGATAAAACTTTATATTTGACAAATTATACAACATTTCTGACTTAACCATGTCTTCAAATTTAACTATTTGAATTTTATCTTCTATTTTTAAATTGAACTTATTGAATTATCATCATTAAATTATTACTTCAAAATTACTACACATGAGAATTGAACCATTAATGATATTTTAACCAATACAAAGAAAAAAAAAATTGAAAAAATAATTTTATTGAAAAACCAACCATTACCAAATTATTACAATTACAATATTAATAAAAAAATAAACAAAAATATATACCATACCCAATACTATTAAAACAACAAGGAACAACTTGATATCAACAATTACATAAATAATCATAATTCTTTAACATTTTTTTGGAAATTTGACTAACAATAGACTCTAGAATTCTGACTTACGATGGGTAGAAGGAAAATTGTTCGTACCCCAGAGGAAGAACAAGAGTTTCAAATTCAAAGACGCTTAAGAAATGCACAAAACCAGAGACGTCGCCGTCAAATTGCATGTGAGTCTGTATATGATGACTGTCAAAATAATGCAATACAGCAAGATTATTTAGGGAAAATGGATGTTGTATGTACACATTGCAATGCAAAACACTTCGAGGCTGAAAAAGTTGCTAATAGAGGTCTATCTTTTAATGATTGCTAATCTCATGGAGCAGTAGCTTTAAATGAAACACAAGATTTTCCACAAGAACTTTCATCTTTATTTGATGGGACTCATTCAAAATCTAATAATTTTTTTGAAAACATTCGATATTACAATAACTCACTATCATTTGCCTCTTTCAATGCTAATTTAGTTAATTTTCAATCTCGCCGTTCTTGACCATATTGTTTTAAAATTCATGGGCAAATTTATTATCAAATTAACACAGTTTTATATCCTTCTGAAAATGAAAACCCGGCATATGGACAACTGTTTTTTGTTGATCAAGATGAAGCTCTTGATATCAGACTGTCTCGAAATCCTCATTTTGATTATAAAACAATTTCAATTTTGGACAAGATAATACGGGAGAATAATGTTTTTGCACAATCTTACGCAATGATGAAACAGGAAATAAACGATTAGCGATTGTTAATGAATTCGGAAAATGAATCTGAATTAGAGTTATTATTTTCTTTAAAACCAGGAACTGACAGGGGTAGATTCAATTTTCAGCGAACGAATGAGGTTGCTGCTATTTTTTCAACCACTGCCGATGGTGAAATTCCGGAATCTTTTGTTACTATTAGAAACAAAAATACAAAATTTTTACAATGTGTTAGTACTATGGATCCAAACGTGGAACCATGGATATATCCATTATTTTATCCTTATGGATCACGAAGTTGACATAGAAACTTAGAGCGTATTAAGAGAAATGATAATGATCCAACTCGACGAATAACGCGATTAGCCTATACAAAATATAAAATCGCTGTGAGGCCAGACGAATTTAATGCTATTGTAATGGGTCGTCGCTTATTTCAACAATGGGTTGTAGACTCTTATGATAAAGTCGAAAAAGATAGGATTCAGTGGTGCAAAGATCATCAAACAGAAATAAAAGCGGACACGTACCAAGGATTGCATGATTACTTACAAAATTCTGCTAATGATATTGATGGGCAAGTAGGAAAAACTGTTATTTTACCATCAACTTTTTTAGGTTCCCCCGTCACATGTAACAAAGTTACCAAGATGCAATGGCTTTAGTTGCTAAAACTGGTAAACCAGACATTTTTCTCACCATGACTTGTAATCCTAAATGGAAAGAGATACAAGAAAATCTTTTACCAGGTCAACAGGCTTGTGATCGACCTGATATTGTAGCTCGCGTATTTCATTTAAAAAAAAAATCGTCTACTTGACGTAGTTATAAAAAAAAAGTTTTTTGGAGAGGTAGCATCTTACGTTTATGTTGTAGAATTTCAAAAACGTGGTTTGCCCCATATGCATTTGTTGATAACTTTAAAAAGCGGCTATAAAATAACGACACCTGAAATGGTTAATAAATTTATATCAGCTGAACTTCCAAATAAAAATACTGATCCTATTTTATATGACATAGTTGATAGAAATATGACACACTGACCTTGCGGTGATTGGTGTATGGTAGATAATAAATGTTCAAAAAAATTTCCCAAACAATTCCAAAATGAAACTGTTATGGATGAAACTGGCTATCCTCATTATCAAAGGTCAAATAATGGTGTTACTCATACGTTATTTAATGGTCACGTAGTTGATAACCGATGGGTAGTACCATATTGTCGTGAATTATTAGAAATGTTTGATTGTCACATAAATGTAGAAATCGTATCAAGTGTTCGAGCTGTCAAATATTTATATAAATATATCTATAAAGGACACGACGCAGCGACTGTAACTATTGGGAATGAAAATTCAGCTAGCAATTATATCAATCACCATTGAAGTCAATAATTTTATAGAAACTCGATATGTTGGACCTGTTGAAGCATGTTATCGAATTTTTAGTAAACCACTACAAGATAAAAGTCATGCCATTGAACGATTACCAGTTCATTTACCACAGCATCAATACGTAGTAATTTCGAGTAACACAGAAAACATTGTAGAAAACCTTAATCAAACGAGTAGTAAATTACTTGATTATTTCAAATTAAATATTGAAAATAATACTGCACATCAGTATTTATATAGTGATATTCCATCATAGTTTACTTATAAGAAAGAAAAAATTAATGGCATTATGGTAACGAAATGGACAGTACGTAAAAAGCATTTCAATTGCATCGGACGAATGTTTTCTGTAAGTCCTACACAGCCTGAGCTATTTCACTTACGATTGTTACTGTTGCATGTAAGAGGAGCTACGATCTTCGATTCATTAAAAACTGTTAATGGTATAATTCAACCTTCGTTTACAGCAGCTTGCCTAGAATTAGGATTAATAGAAGACGACCAAGAATGGGTTAAAGCAATGGAGGAAGCAATAATGTGGATGATGCCACGTAGGCTGCGACAATTGTTTGTTCGAATTTTAATACATTGTCAACCAATACATCCTGAAAAATTATGGGACAAATTCAAAGATGCATTATCGGAAGATTTTTCGCGAACACACGACGTTATTATGAGTCATCAAATGGCATATGCAGACATTAACAATTTATTGATTTATGAAGGTAAGAGTTTGGCCGACTACCCTACTATGGATCAAACAGTAGTTAGTCATTTATTATTAGAAAACGATAATGAATCATTACAATCAAATTTTACAGAAATTGGAGAACGACAATATCAGTTATTGAATGAACAACAGAAAGAAATTGTCGACGTTGTTTTGAACTTAGCAAATGATACAAATAATCATGATAATAATTGTATATACTACATCGACGGTCCAGGAGGATCAGGAAAAACTTTCATTTACACAACTATTTATAATCTACTGTGCTCAAAAAATATCAAAGTATCTTCAATGGCATTCACTGGAATTGCCGCAGTATTACTTCCACAAGGAAAAACAGTATATAAAACATTCGGGCTTCCTGTTCCTATGTACAGTGACTCATCATCAAGTATAACTGCACAATCTAAGGATGGTCTTCTACTAAAAGAAACAAAAGTTTTCATTTGGGACGAAGCGCCTATGGCTCCAAGATACGCATTAGAAATAGTGAATAGAACATTACAAAAGTTTATGAACAATGATTTACCATTTGGTGGTAAAATTATGGTTTTAGGGGGCGATTTTAGGCAACTTTTACCAATTAAAATCAATGGAACGCGTACTGAAACCTTGAACCTTTCTATTAAATACAGTGAATTATGGAGACATTTCATTAAATACAATCTTACCACTAATATGAGAGCATTACCTAATGAAGTTGATTTCGCAAAATTTTTAATATTAGTTGGCGATGGAAGTCTAAATGACCAACGTGACAATTTAACTTTACCCGAGCATTGTATCTTGAACTATAATGATGATGTTGTCCGCAGTGTATTTCAAAGACTAATTATAGAAAAGCAATTTGATGTTATGAGTAAATGTGCTATATTATCTGCTCGAAATGTGGATGTTGATGAATTAAATAAATTAGTTACCGACTTACTAGATATAGCGACAGAACATATATATACTGCAATTGACAGTACCGATAATTGTGATAACGGTGATTTTCAAGAAATAATCTTACCGGAATATTTAAATACGTTACATCCTTCCAGTTTACCTCCATATGAATTACGATTGAGGAAAAATTGTATTGTCATGCTCATTAGAAACATAAGTATACACGAAGGTTTATGTAATGGTACGCGTTTACGAGTATTAGATTTTTCGAATCATTTATTGAAATGTCAAGTTTTAACGGGAGACAAATCAAATAGTATTGTATTTTTAAATCGTATTTCATTAACGTGCGAAAATGAATACCCATTTACATTCAGAAAACGTCAAGTTCCTGTCAAATTAGCATTTGCTATGACAATCAATAAAGCTCAAGGTCAAACATTTGATAATATTGCTATTGATCTTCGAAGAGATGTTTTCAATCATGGGCAATTGTATGTAGCAATGTCTAGAGTACGTTCATGGGAAACACTCAAAAGTTACCTAGGGAATCAACAACGTGATAGTTTTACAGTTAAAAATTATGTTTACAAAGAACTTTATATATAGAAGAATTTATCTAACGTGCAATAATCATGTGTGTAATTAAATAATTATTGTTTGTTCAGTTCAAAATGTCATGATTAATCTATGGCGCGCGTAGCGCGCTAATGACTTCTAGTATTATTAAAAGCGATACGATAACATTGCGTGATATAAATGCTAATTGTTTTAATCAAGAAATTTTTTTATTTAAATTAAATCAAAATTTACCAAAAATCAGTTTCATAAAATTTTCTTGGTATGCACAGAAAACAGTAGATATTGATTAGATAGGAATGGTAACATTTAGGTAGTATTTGATTAAAATAGATTTTCATAAAATTAATCGATTCAAACCGTCTGTGGCAAATATGTCCTCGAATTAATTCAATCAAAAGATGTCTAAAAAATCTATGTGTAAATATTATATTAATTATAATAACAGACAATATTAACAGATTTTTTATTTCTCTCAATTTTAAATTTTATTCAATTCTCTGGATCAAATTTCGTTTCTCTAGTGTATAACAGATGGTGAATAGTTATTAATCAATTAATTAAAATATTATTAAAAATTAATTAAAATCTTACTAATATAAAATATTTATCATGAAGTGACAGAGATATCTTCTCTAAATTTTTTCCAAGTATGATAAGGACATAAAGTATAACAGTATCAATGATAAATAATTATTTTTGTTTTGCTGAATATTTTTCAGTTAGAATAATAATAAGAATTGAAAAAATGGTTTTTGTAAGTGTATTTGATGTTTTTCTCAGCCTATATTTACTATAAACGAAATAATTAGCTAATGCAATGATATAAGTTGAGAAAACGTTATAACATTGACAAATCTCACATGAGAAAACAATTATTACTGAAGAAAACTAGCAATGTATACGACTATAATATGTTTCTGATTAACTGTCACATATAGTTATAATAAACAAATTTGAAATTATATAATAATGATTATTACTATTAATGGATTCTCTTTTTCTTATTAATAGATAATTTTATGATTTTATAATGAAGTTATTATTACCTTATATAATTAAATTTTATACAAATTGTCGTATATATACATGCATTAATATAAAAATACTTTAGAAGCTCAACCAATTACTTTTTCAAATACTTGAAACAAAATATAAAATTCTTTATACCAGCTCTTTATACGTAGTTAGAAATTGAGTAGAATTTTTTAATTAGATCTAAGTCTGATTGAAGAAGGAAAATCTAGAGGATTAATTCTTTCAGTTCAAAAATATCACAACTTTTGTATTATGTAACCATATGTATGCATTTAATTTATTTCTTACAAACCTGTGTTGAAAATAGCACTACTAATCAAGAAGAATAAGACATTATGATTGTGTTTTTATATTATTAGATAAAATTCAATATAAAAAGGAAAAACTCATAATTATATTTTTATATTTGCTTCAAGTTTATTTATAATTCATCTAGCATATTGAGATAATAAGTAAATCTAATACTATATGGATATATCTACATGAAATTTAGTAAAATACTGCAGTAAATATTCTGTCTTTGTTTTAAAGTATGCATGTAACAAATAAATTAGAATTTATTAAAGCATTCATAAGCTTATAATTTTTGAGCCTGGTGTGTTGGTGATAGAAGACTTGGGAAGTTTACTGATAAGTTAATTTGGACGGTTTTGAGCCTATTTTTACTTGCGTAAAACTTTTTAGTTTCTTCTTTAACTACTGTGAGTTGTTGATCATTTCCGGTAAATTTGTTTGAGATAAATCGTGGGACCCGTGAGATATTATGTAGGACTATCTATTTAAACCGTTTAAGGAGGCTCCAGGGCGAAAGCCGAAGTCAAATGCAAGCTAAAAAATAAACTTGTGAACTAAAGTACGTGTTTATACTGAAAAATTTTATTATTAATTGCGAAGCAACATTACTGCCAGAAACTGCAACTTTTAATACTATTTATTACATACGAAAATAAATAGTTGTCAACTTGATTTTTTTTCTGCTCGCTTTTTTCACTGATCAATGAGGTAGTACCTTTACAAGAGTTAGTGACTTGTAAATCCTAGCGTGTATAACCTCTAAAACGTATATAGTATATAGTGTATAGTACATGGTAAGTCTGCGGTGGCTGAGAGATTGAGACGAAATTGCAATCGACTTTATACAAGGTTTTCTTTGATTTGTTTTGAGAGTGAATTGATTTCAATTAAATGAATGAAGAAGTCAATGACGCCGAAAAAAGCGAAAAATGGAGAAATACTGAGCGTATTACAATAGGCAGTCGCAAAGGTCAATTAAACAAAAATCATCAGTAATTAAGAGAGAAAAGAGACAGGCTATGAAGAGGTTATATGAGGTACGTATATAAACAAAGCGTTCATAGCAGATTGCATTAGAATTTAGTATGAAAATCTATGTCTTTACGTAACATTTATAGATAAAATATCACTGATTCTGATAATTATCGTTGTTATGGTTTTTAGCAAGACAGTGAGAGTATTTAAGATGAACCTGAAAATGCTATTCTCGCTGGGAGAGAAATACATGAACCCAGTGTACGAGTATTAGCCAAACAGATGTGGTGTTCTGAGTAAAATATTCCATTATCTTTTAGATTTGCAGAGGAAAAAGTACAAACAAAATTATGATACATTTATCATATCAAGTGCTATAAATGTTTTAAGATTCATAAGATTAAAACTGGTAAGCTGTTCAGAGAAGGCGATGACAAACATAATTTATTTGTCTTAAATGCCAAGGCGGCTGAAGTAATATATAGTTTTTCTTAAAATCGTTTATTAATTACATACGCTTTATTTTTATAATTAATAGACATTATAAATTCGGGTATTAGGAAAACTAAAATGAATTTATTACTGTCTACAATGAATGGTTGCACAGATTCAGACACATTGCTCAAGCGTTTTGAAAGAATTGTTGAACCCAAAATTGAAGAGGTTGCTATCAAATCTTGCAGTATCGTGTTACAGGAGGAAATTGCTTTGTCAAAAGAAGCTAATGACATTGTGTTAGATAAGTAGGTATTTTTTAAAGTTGAAATACGATAAATCAATCTTTTTTTTATTAATCAATATAAATTTGTTGAATATACGAGGTCTGTCCGGAAAGTATCGGGCCTACCTTTATATTTTCGTGCTAGCGTTATTCTTTATCATCTGGTGGGTGACATCCTTCACAGTAATCCCCACTTGAATGAATAACACGGTTCCATCGACGTTCCCACTTTTCAAAACAGTCCTGGACCTCACTTTTAGGGATAGCCTTAAGTACACTCGTCGCATTGTTTTCAACCGTTGTTTTGTCATCGAATCAGTGTCCTTTGAGTGGTTTTTTTAGTTTTGGAAACAGCCAAATGTCACAAGGGGCTATGTCGGGACTGTATGGAGGTTGTCGAAGCAATGCGATATTGTGTTTGCTCAAAAACTGCTGCACAAGATTGGATGAATGCGCTGGCGCATTATCGTGATGGAGAAGCCAGTCTCCACTTTCCCAAAAGTGCGGCCGTTTTTTTTCTTACAGCATCACACAAACATTTCAAAATTTGAACGTAGTATTCTTTATTAATTGTCTGACCTGTTGGTGCATATTCGTGATGTACAATACCTTCACAATCGAAAAAAACAATCAACATTGACTTAACATTGCTCCGACTTTGACGTGCTTTTTTTGGTCTTGGCGATTCAGAATGCTTCCACTGTGAAGATTGTTGTTTTGTTTCAGGATCATAACAATAAACCCATGATTCATTACCTGTATTAACTTTTCTAAGCACATTATCATCATTATTGACCATTTCCAGATTATCCAGAGCGATTTCTAAGCGAATGTTCTTCTGCTCTGCTGTGAGCAATTTTGGAATGAATTTTTCACACACGCGTTTCATTCCTAAATTTTCGGTTAAAATTTCTGAAATGATAGTTTTTAGTATCCCAAGGTTTTCTTCTAGTTCTCGCATAGTCATACGACGATCTTGTTCGATTGCAAGTCGCACCCGCTCAATATTATCTGCGGTTTTTGTCGTCGAAGGTCGGCCGGAACGAGAATCACTATTGACAGAAGTGCGACCATCCTTGAACCGTTTATACCACTCTTTTATTCGTGTTTTGCTCATACACTCGCTTCCGAAGGCCTTTTGCATCATTTCAATAGTTTTCGAACTCGTTTTTCCGAGTTGAAAGCAAAATTTGATGCAAATTCGATGATCTTGTTTTTCAGTCATTTTTGACAATATCAAAATTCGACGAACGCGAAAAAGGCACTGTAAACAAAGACACGCTGCGCATGAACTATACGTCCGACAGGTATCAATAAGTAACCAATAGATTCGTGAGGCTTTACTGTTGACGTTTCTGTCCGGTAGAGGTCGCTCGAACACTATGGCGCGAAGATATAAACGTAGGCCCGATACTTTCCGGACAGACCTCGTATATACAAGCATGCACGATTAATTTGCTGAGATGTGTTTTTTTTTAAATTATTGGATTCGTCAAATTGAGTTGTTGAATGTATATATACACGCATCACATAATATTAAAGTATTGAGGTTTGATCTTTATAAAACTGATTCACAATAGTAACAATAAAAGATTCAAATCGTCTATCTAATGCCAAATAATCAAAAGTTGATTCGATTTTCAATATAATAGCCTTTTTCGAAACGGATTTTTATATGTTAAATTTACATTGACTATTGTTTTAATTTTTACACATGTTATTGTTAATCTTGACATATCAGCCAATCAAACTATGATAATTTTTTAGACTATGTAAACTACGAAATGAAGTATTGAACAATTTTCTTCTCAACTAGTAATTTTTACATGATTTTTATTGAAAATAATTAAATAAATAACCGAAGAATGATTTTAAATCTAAGTAAATGAAATTCATTATCATGATATAAATTTATTTTACAATTTATTAGTTAAAATAACATAACCAACCTGTCTCTGAGATATACAAAGAAAAACTGTCTCCCGCCAGCTTTTTTCTCTTT